CATCTGATAAGTCCCTTATGATGGTTGGTACCAAATGTTGTATGAGCATGAAGTTTAGGGTAATTAAGTAGAAATTAGAGCAAACCCTGATATTGTCCTTTTTTGGCAATGGAATGAACACTGATTGTTTCCAATCCTGTGGCCATTTGTTTCCCAAATTTTCTGGCACAAGGCTGTAATAGTTGTAATGGTGGTACACGTCTCAACAATTGTGCAGCAACAGTGTTAATACCTGGGGCCTTGTTGTTTGGTAGTTGAATCATTGCACACAAAACTTCTTGAAAGATGGCTGGTTCTATTTTTGCTTTCCTTTCTTCATCATCCTGAGGAGCATGGCTGGTATGGCTATACGCCAAAGGCGCACAGAACGCTGTTATCCTTCCACTGAAGTGGTACCTATTAACTACTCGCATTTGCATGCTTTCAAACTGCTATGTGGGCAGGAGTTGAGGCAGGAATGGGAGCTCATCCCATTGAGTGGTGCTTGGCTCTCGAACCTTGACTCTCGAACCATGACTTTCCAGCTGACAAGCTCAGCACCATAAAGGCTGAGCCATTGCATTTACAGGAACCTACATTGAGCATTCAGGAGTCTACAGGAATTGGTGGTACAGGAATAGAAACTAGAAGATAACATATTTATGTTTCAAGTTAACAAATAAATAATGTGCTTAGGAGATAAACTTCCATAATTTTTCATAGGTTGTTGAGAAATATATACTTCAGCCATGGCAATATCTATATTTAATTATTGGGATAGACTAGGGGTGTCAAACTCAATTTCATTGAGGGCCGCATCAGCATTTCGGTTGCCCTCGGGAGAGCGGGGGGCAGCCTACTGGGTGGGTGTGGATGGAGTGGGTGTGGCCTACTGGGTAGGTGTGGCCAGCTCTACATCATTCGCATCAAGGGTACCTGGGGGGGAGCCTGGGCAGGAGTGGGACAGATCTGAGGGTCTCTGGCAGAAAGGGGTGGGACCAGGGCTGGCCACTTCCAGGTGATGGTGCATTTCTTCATTCCTCATAAAGGGTGACACCTCCCCAGCATGCACCCAGGGGGTGGGACCGATGCAGCAGGGGCTGGTTCCTCGCTGTTTCCAGACGGCCTTGTGGAGCTAAGACTGAATGCATTTCAGCATAGATGGCCACCACAAAATTGTACATTGACTCCCAGCCGGCCTGGGCCAGGGCCAAGGCAGCAGGGGCCGTTCCCTCACTGTTTCCAGAATGGCTTTGCGGGCCACATGAAACCACTTCGCGGGCCACATCCGGGCCCCGGACCTTGTGTTTGACATGTCTGGTCTAGTCTATCTTTCTTTCTGCTTTAGAGGCAGAATTTGTTTTTCTCTTTGTCTAGTTTTTGTTTAAATATGGGGGATATTTAATTGTGAAAATGTATGTGTTAAGCTGAGGCTTTTGTGGTTTTTTTGTTTTGTTTTGTTTGTTTGTTTTACTTTTTTTCATAGCAAAAGGTCCTCATACTCACTGCTGCGGTTCCTTTGCAACAATTCCTGGAATGATTAGGCAATATCCTGTGGATACCTAGCCCACCTAGAAAATGCTGCATAGGACAATAAGTCTCTGAGAAACACCTTTGAGTTGGGATGATTTTTTTTGCTATAGAAAAGAACAAGAAAATGCCAAGACCATCAAACATTTTGAACCATAAAAAAAAATGAGGAAAGACAAGTTGATCAGACTTCATTTCTTCTATCATCTTTCTAGCCTAAGATACTTCTGGGAGCTAAAATCTTCACTATTAGGATCCATAGTAAAAAAAAAAAAAACAACTTTCAAACTGATTAAGGAATAAGTGATACTTTTAAGTTTTGATTTTTGCATTCTGTAGTCTCAGTATGAAATCATGCCGAAGTTGAATGCACTTAATTTTAATGGCTTTGTAAAGTATTTCTTACTTAACTTTTTGATTACATCTTGAGCTTTAAAAGAGTAAGAGAAAAATGTTGGACTCACAATATATTTAATTCATGGGCATGTCAATATGTAATTAGTTGCTATTTGTTAAAAGGTGAACAACATTAGATTGTAAGACAATGTATGTAGTATCTAAATCTAAATTATATATTCTAGACTGACAATAAAGAAGAGTAAAGGAGAGAGTAGAGGAAGGAAAGAAATGCAGGAGAATAAGCTATGGAATTTACCCTTTAGTGTTTGGGGTATTTGAATTTCTGAAGTATTGAAGTATTAACTTCCCCATTGCAATATGTCAAAAAAAAAAAACCTACTGAGTTTTTCTGATGACTTTCAGACCATTTGAAAAATTAGTGCTCAACTCTATAGCCTTGTAAGTAGAGATTGAATTATAGTCCAGATGGATTAACTTTAAAACGATACATTGACAATACTAACTTGTTTAATTTGTATGATGGCTATATTAAATATCAAATCAGGCAGGTTATTATGTCAAGGAAGATGAAGTAGGGCGGGACTCAAATGCATTTGGCTTTATGTCTGTCTGTATTTCATTGCTGTGACAGGCCATCATGATTGGAGATGATATTGTAAACGATGTAGGAGGAGCCCAGCAATGTGGAATGAGAGCTGTACAAGTACGGACAGGAAAGTACAGGTCAGTGCATATTAAATAAGCCTTTTATCCTCTATAGATAACAATTTGCTTCCCTTACTTTTTTCTTTATGGCTTTATATTGTAACTATGATGCATAGATTTATAATGAAAAAAATAAAATTTATTTTTTTCTCTAGCAAAGTTGTGGAATACATGGTTTGGCAGTCTAAATTTTGTTCTAGGAATCTGTTTGTATGTGGCCCATGTGTTCTCCATCAAGCCCATCTTTGATAATGATGTACTATTTTATTAATCCTGGTAATTGGGTAGGACATACATTTATTAATTTATAGAGAAAGTGCATCAAAAGCCAATTTCTTACTCTAGGTAGTTTGTGCTTAAAATAAAAAAGAACTTTAAAACAACATGAAAAATATGAAGTGTCGTGCATAATTGACATTATTTGAAATCCAAGCTGATCTCTGTGTTTTAGTGGATGACTATTTGCAGAAAGTGCTGCCTTTGAGACAAGACATGTGTATTACATTGTAGTTCCCTTAGATGGTGCCATTTGTACATTACTGTAGCTCTGACTGATCTTCTCTCCTGGCTGTTTTAGCAGATTTGCCAATCACTCTTACGTCTGAAGAAAGTTGTCAGCATATTTGATCTTTTTCAGATCCTTTACTGATCAGAGGTTTTAAAGTTTCTGAACTTTGAAACTTTTCTCAAATAAGCTTTTAGGATCTTTCAGTGATCTTTTGAATGCTTTTAACACTGCAGAACCCCTCAGGCTGGGCACACAAAATGGCTTGTAATGCGTACATACATACATGTGGGTCACAATACCTAAAGTGTTGAAAGAATTGAGGCGTGAAGCAGTTATTTAGTGGAAACCTGGAAATGAAGTGATGAAGAAAAAAAAGTATATATATCACGGACTGGGAACCTGGATTACACTTTTGGATTACAACATTTTTAAAAAATGACCAGATTGGCTGGGGCCAGTAGGATTTTGAATTCAACATTTGAAGGATCAAGAATTTTCCAGTGTGATTTATAGAGAAAAACAAAGTGGATGTAACTGCATAGGAGATGTACATTCAGGACAACATGCAGAAATTTAGGAGGTTGGATAAATAAATCTATAGGAGCCAGGCAAACATTCCCAATAAGATGAGTTCTATAAGGAATTGTACAACAGACCTGCCATCAGAAATATTTCTTAACCAATAATTTCCCTGCTGGGCTAAAGTTTTCTAGGACACAGTCTCTGCCTGCTTATTCATCAGTAGCTGGGAATCCAGGAGAACTTCCAAATCCTTCAAGGGCAGTGCCATTCCATCAAGGGACACAATTACAAATGTCAGGGACCTGCAATGAATGAACATTGTTCTGTTTTGTTTAGGGTTCATGCTCTTCTATCCCATCCATAGCTGCATAGTCTCCAGTCAAGATGTTGAGAGCATCACCTATGTAGCTTAAGGTAGCAGTGTACAATTGGACAACACCAGCATATTGCTGATACTGAATCCCAAACTAGCTAATAACCTCACCGAGCAGCTTAATGTGGATGTTAAAAAATGGGAGAGGGAAGACTGAGTCTTGCAGCACCTCACAAACAAGGGACTGCCTGGTTGACTTCCCATACCCATTGGTGACTCCAGCTCCCAACTTATCCAGGTTGCCCAGAAAGATAGTATCCCATGATTTCGGAGATTGTATTTCTTGATGGATAGTTTATTTATATTTCCCATGGACAGTTTGTGTTTTGTGATAATCTTTTTTGTTAACTTCAGCTATCTTAGTAGATTATAGCAGGTTACAAGTCAAATAAATAAGTATTAACTATCCAGTGAGAACCTTCTCTGCTGATTCTTGAATGACATTTATATATTATGAATTCCACATTTTAGATAAAACTAATTTGAAGGGAGAGCCAGTTGGTACAGTGGTTAAAGACACCAAGCTAGAAACTGGGAAACCATGAATTCTACCACTGTCTCTCCCAACTGGATGACTTTGGGCCAATCATGTTTTCTTAGCTGAAGGATGAAGTCAGAGGCAAATTGTTTGCCTCCCAAAAAATATTGCCAAGAAAATTTCATGGTTTTGTGCAAGGTAGTTACCAGGAATAAAGATTGATTTGAAGGCACACACGTACACAAGATAAATGATTGCCTAATACAAGCAAACTACACTGCTAAATTAGCAGGGATCACCGTGCTTAATAACCTACTGCTTTGTTTAGAATTTACCATGCAGGTTTGATCATACTACTGATTTTTTAATTAAATTTGATGTTGGTCACTGAGTTTATTTGATGGAATAAATAGATTGCTATTTCTTGGAATGTATATTGATGCCACTTGTTTACTGTTTCCTACTTGTGTCATATAGCATCTTTTGCTGTGCATTGTTACATAATATTATTGTTAAAATGAATGAGGAGCAGAAAGCCAACTGAAAAGACTGTTCCCTTGGATATGGAATATTTCCTTCATTGTTTACAGTAGTCCTTAATATTTAGCCTCGCTCTTCAGGGAAGAGGCGGGATGTTCTTGGATAGCTGTTATCACTGTGAAGCAGAGGCTATTATATTCAACCTCTGCCAATTTGTCCTTTCTGCTTTTTTGGGAGGCTGGTATGCATTACAATTAATGTAGTTTGATTCCCCGTTGATAGTACTAAAAACATTTGGGCTATTCAGTATTGTTTCTGTGACATAACAGCTTGTTGAGGCTTACTTTATTGCCTGTTCCTTTAATTTGGTTCAAATAACAGTTCTATTTTAATGTTAATGATATTCTTGTTGAATCTTATAAACTTTGTTTTATTTGTAAATCAGAAAAATGACATCCAGGTATACAGAGAACTTATAATCCACATTTCATTTTTATTTCTTGATATATGTCTTATTCTTTAAGGAAGCCTTTCCCAATCTGAGGTGATACTTTTGTCATAACCTCTGAGCCAGCATTAGCAATGGTCAGCAGTTACAATATGAATATACAGCATGCAAACTAGCAAAGCCCCATCCGCGGGATGTAGGCAGCATGCAAAACCACACCCCCTCTGGTGCATGGAAAAACCTTTCCTCATGGAACCAGTCCCTCGTGCCCAAAAGGCTGGGGGCCACTGGTATAAGGGATGGAAATGGTGAGACAAAACTCATTGGTGTAGACAAAACTGTATTGTTAAACGTTGAGTAGCTGCTGCTAATATGAAGGCTTGGAAGATAACAGGCAGAAATCCACTGATTCAAAAACATGAAGAAAAAGGCTTAACAAGAGTTAAGATTTGGATCTAGGGAGAGCAGAGAGAGGCAGAGAAGGACAAGTTCTTTGTGTAATTAGATACGAATAAGTAGACCTCTCTCTCTCTCTCTCTCTCTCTCTCTCTCTCTCTCCCTCCCTCCCTCCTCTTTCTCTCCCTGTGTGTGTGTGTATGTGTGTGTGTGTGTGTGTGTGTATTTATTTTTTGTCCATAGTGCAACAGTTTCTCTATGTCATGTTAAGAGTGAAATTTTTGCTTTAGTTAGTCACCCAAGGTGACTTAGTTTCCTGGGGAGCTTAAATTTATTACTATGTTGATAAAAAGTCTGAAAAGTCCTGTCATGGTGGATTTTTGTTTCATATTTTATTTTTTATTTCATATTTTATATAAGAAATCTGGACTGAAACAAGCTTGGGATGGCCAGGAGTGAATCTTTATGGGAAAAGATGGTCAGCTGAAGACCTATTACTGGGCTTAAAATGTAGCCAACCATCCTTCATTGTTTAAATTCTGGGCTTCTGCCCCCCCCCCCAAAAAAAATTGATGACGGCCAAAATGTATGAAAATAATCTAACCCTTTGCTATCATCTAGTGGTTGTCCGGATTTTTGTAGCCCAGATCAGGTTGATATAGTTTATTTTCTAATAGTAATAACAACCATAGTTGCCAACCAATTTTTTAGCAGCTTTAGTTTTCTGGCAAGCTCATTCTGGCGAACTTTTCATTGAGGTTTTGTTTTGTATTGTCTTTTACCAGGAAAGATAGATAGGACAGCCTAGAAAAGTCAGTGCCCTCCTAAATATTCCCAACCACTCCGAGTTTGTTGGCGATTTCCATTTTGCTCCCCAAGTTCATGGTGACCTAACCTTAACCCTAAGTGGAATTTTCCCAAATAGCATTTTCCCATGTATTTTACCAGGAAACATAGATTAGGTAGCCAACAAAAGTCAGTGCCCTCCTAACCATTTCCAAGCACTCCGACTTTGTTGGCGATGTCCAGTTTTCTCTCTGAGTTCATCATGACCTAACCCTAACTTTAACTGGAACCCTATGTTTCCTGGTAAAATACACAGGAAAATCCTATTTGGGAAAATTCCACTTCGGGTTAGGGTTAGGTCACCATGAACTCGGAGAGCAAAATGAACATAGGCAACAAATTCAGGGTTCTTGGGAATGTATAAGAGGGCACTGACTTTTCTAGGCTACCCTATGTATGTTTTCTGGAAAAATGTATGGGGAAATCCTATTTGGGAAAATTCCATTCAGGGTTATGGTTAGGTCTCCATGAACTCGGAGAGCAAAATGGACATCGCCAACAAACTCAGAGTACTTGGGAATGGTTAGGAGAGTTTGTTGGTGATGTCCATTTTGCTCTCCGAGTTCGTGGTGACCTCACCCTAACCCTAAGTGGAATTTTCCCAAATAGGATTTTTCCATGTATTTTATCAGGAAAAATAGGTCAGCCTAAAAAGTCAGTGCCCTCTTTACTATTCCCAAGCACCCCGAATTTGTTTGCGAAGTCCATTTTGCTCTCCGAGTTCCTGGTGACCTAACCCTAACCCTAAGTGGAAGTTTGCCAAATAGGATTTTCCCATGTATTTTACCAGGAAACATAGATAGGGCATACTACAAAAGTCTGTGCCCTCCTAACCATACCTAAGCATTCCGAGTTTGTTGGAAATATCCATTTGCTCTCCGAGTTCATGGTGACCTAACCCTAACCCTGAGTGGAATTTTCCCAAATAGGATTTTTCCATGTATTTTACCAGGAAAGATAGATAGGA